ACTATTTTTCTAAACGCTCTTGGTTTTCTTTGTCAACAGATACTGTCATCAGTGTGTTCAGTGTTTGCTGACTGTGTTTCTCTACTGGGGGTTCTTCGGTTCATGATAGGTATTGGCAGCGGTGGGATCCAAGCATCGCATTTCACTTTAGGCCTAGAGCTGTTGGGACCTAAACATCGATCCTTGTATAGTGTTATTTATCAGATCTATTTTACTGCTGGGTACTTCGTCTTTAACTTTTTCGCTTATTTTGTGAGGGACTGGAGATTACTTATATTGATGAATAGCTTGCCAGGGATTATACTATACTTATTTATGAGGTGAGTCTTTTATGAGTTAGGTTAAAAGTTTTAAGTCATAGATCATACTCAAGACGAAGTAAGCCATATTTTGTTTGCAAGCGATTTCTACTTGATTTGTACATACTTCACCCTTATTCATCTTAAGCCAAACACTGGAAAAATCGCGCGCTTTAAAAGTTGTAAATTTGATGTAAATATGATGTAAGTGTCCAAAATTCTGTAAATTTGATGTAAATGATTTCCATTAAATTTACAGAATTTTGGACACTTACATCATATTTACATCAAGTTTACAACCTTTAAAGCGCGCGATTTTTACCAGTGAAATGTTCTTGATCTTTATATTCACGATAGCAAAACATGATGAATCAAAGTGACCAAAGGTTCAATTTCCAATTTTGAGTTCGTCGTCTTTACAGTGCATGATTTGACTTATAAAATAGAACGTTTACAAAACCATTGCTTTATAAGATTAGAGTAACTGCCACTGCTGAATTTGAATCCCTTGTCTACAATATAGTACGTCCAACAAATCGTCCAAATCGTCCCAATCGCCCAAAAACGCGTTTTTGCATAGAGAGATTATATGGACACTACTAGACCTAATGCGGGCTGCTTCTGCGTCGTTTCTATTATGAAAAGTTGTGATACTAAAGGATCATACATGYTGTATATACTTTGCTGCTTGCAATAGTTGACGTTTTCCTATTTYSCGTCATGCAGCGCTCTACTTCAATTCTCAAAAAATATATTACTTTCAGAGTATTTCCCGAGTCTCCTCGATGGCTTCTTAGCAAAAACAGACTAAAAGAAGCAGAAGATGTCCTTGTTAAGTGTGGAAGCGATTCTCTGGATCGAAATCAACTCAAAAAAGCGATCAAAGATATTAGCATTGCACAGATTAACGAAGAAAAGAAGAGACAAGAAAGAATTTACACGCCTCTTGATTTGGTTCGCACGCCAAAACTCAGAAGAAGAAGTATTTTTCTCGCAATAAACTGGTAAGATTAAAGAGTAGCTTTGACTCCATCAAAGTATGGCCGTTAGAAACTAACGAACACAAGATACAAAAAGTTAATGAATAAGTCGCATTAAAGCGAGATCTAGGGGTTGAGCCTGCAGTGATAGATTCCCTTTGTTCACACCTCAGCGGACAATTATTCAGCAATATCTATCATTGGAATCTCACCCACTGTCTCGTTTCCATGCAATGGCTGGCTACGGTTCAAGATTGCGCTTGGAACCTTTAAAATGGCATAGCAATCACATATGAAGAGGGGCGGATTCAGGGGGAGGGGGGAATTCGCCCCTCTTTTTCTCACTCAAAGCCCGGTATTAAATCTAGATTTCTTATAGTTAGAAAAATATTGTTTGTGTTTTTGAAATATATTTCGATCAGTAAATCCCCCCTCCCCCCCTGGAAAATTTCTGAATCCACCCCTGCTGAAGTCAGATAAACTGACAGCTAAACCGATATTTCACATTAAAAAACTAGATTCTATTTCTTAGAAATCTCATTCAAACATTTTCTTCTCCAGGTTTTCGGTTAGTTTTGTTGGCAATGCTTTCTTTCTGTACATTGGAAATCTAGCAGGAAGTATCTATCTAAACTTCTTCCTCGTCAATATTGCTTGCCCTATAGGCGCTATAGCAACGGGATTTCTTCTAAAACGGTAAACCATCATGAGCTTTACATTTTTTGGTATCGGAACTTTTCATTCATCATTTAATTCCGAGTATTATATCTTATGCTCGAGAGAAAACGATGGAATAGACATTTTGCATGAAACGGTCACATGGTACTAAATCCGCCATACTTGATGTCAAAAGAATGTAAACAACCTCAAAAACAAAAGGAATTGGCTTTTCTTTGGTTTGAACATCCCAGTGGCTATTCTAGTATTTTGGAGCTACCATGTGACCGTTTCCTCTCTGTGCGGACCGGGGTTTAGTGAAGCGTATCTAGGTGATGGTGGTTGTAGGGGTAGCACTACCCCGATCCCCTCAATACTTCCCCTTTATTTTGTCTGTTCTTTTTCACCGAGACCTCACTGAAGCCGGAAAATCTTGGATCCATCCCTGCCTGCAATACCTACCATACTAGTCACACTTTACTAATTTGTTGCTATGCAACGATTTTTTGACAAAGACACGTATTTTCCCTGTAGCATTGGCCATCGTTTGACACATGCTGTTGTCCTGTGTATGGTTGGGATTCTTTGTTTGGCTTCTCTCGTAGTGCCGGATGGTAAGGATTCACACGCACGTGGTGCACGCATTGAAGCACTATCTAAATGGACTAGACTTTAGCAAATAAATCCAATTTTCATCATTTTYAGATCAACCGCTTGCAAGAACTTGGATTTTCGTGTCAGCGTTTGGTATTTCAAATGGAATGTGGGTCACAATCTTTCTTATTGGGACTGAGCTGTTCCCTACCGTTCTGAGGTAAACGGCATACTGCATCATCATCATCATCATCATGACATCATCGTCGTCAGACACATCATCGTCATTATGACATTTCTTTCGAGATATAAACATCATAAGATTCATGACATCATTATGATGACCATAATCCATAATCATGACGTCATAAGATCCATGACATCATTATGATGACCATAATCCATAATCATGACGTCATAAGATCCATGACATCATTATGATGATCATAATCCATAATCATGACGTCATAAGATCCATGACATCATTATGATGATCATAATCCATAATAATGACGTCATAAGATCCATGACGTCATTATGATCATAGTAACACGACATAGAGACATCGTCATGGAAACTAGCGGTAAACTAGTGTGGTCGAGTTGCGTAGGTTTTTCTTTTTCTTTTACTCCAACGAAAGACAAGTAAGTCAGTAAGTTAATTCTCGTAGTTGTTACGGTGTGAAATGTATCTTATTTTTTTAAAATCGTTTTATGATTATAGCATCCTTATTGTTCAGTTTGATGTATTTTTATGTGTTTGTACAGGAGTACAGCGGTAGGCACTGGATACACAGTTGGTCGTGTTGGCGGCATTTTGGCTCCCTACGTAGCAATACTGGTACGTCTTCATAGACTTTGTTGTCATCCATGGGTCCTATTCACGATAGCCGCTCAAACATGGTTTTCATATTGTAATGGAAATGCCATGCCGTCTTCAAGGAGGCAACACCATATTTCAGCAGTTTTTAACAATTCTTTAATAAAAGGTTTTTGTTAAAAAGTGCACCAATTCCAAAACTGACAAATTTATATACGCATATTTCAATATCTTMAAATATTGTCTCCGCATGTGCAATGTGTGCATTACTATATGAAAACCATCATGGTGACAATTGTGAATTTGTGTGCACTCGCGCTCCTACCTTGAGATTCAATCCATGCATTAGACGTATCCAAAGGCAGCTCATGAAGCAACGAGAGAACTACACAGGCAACCCAAGAATATACAAAGTCTWCCCATAAATCCATAAAACTAACTGAAGTTATCTTTATTTCAGGGCCAGCTTCCAGGTCTCACCATAACTCTACCCATGACCATCTTCGGCGCCGTTGCCATCGCAACATGCATAGCAACACTATGGTTACCAGAAACGAGCCATTCTAAAATGCATCAAACCATCGAGGAGGAAGAAAACGCACCAGAATTTTACTACATGCCTTGTTTTAGGAAAGGAAGAAGGCCTGGTGAACAGGAAAAAGATGAAGTCCAAGTTGACTCTGATAAATACACAGTTGCAAACTCACAAGTCACATCTATGTAGTATGATACA